TTACATTGTCTTACATGATACAGTGGCCAACAGTGGCCGTCTGCATGCTGCAGAGGCAGAGAACCTGCAGCTGCTCAGTCCAGAGGCTGGATGCCTCAGCAGTCTCAGTCTGTTAGTGAAGGCCTGTCCCAGAGGGATGCTGGTCCTCTTGTCTGTAGGTTCTGATGGTCTAGGGAGGACGACAGCAGCAACAACAGGATGGACACTGTGCTTGATAGTTTTAGTGTCAACTTGACACACCTGGGTAGAAGAAGCCTCAGTTGGGGAGTCGCCTCCATTAGACTGGCCTGTGGCTATGTCTGTGGGGTATTTTCTTGGAGTTTTGGGTGATGTGGGAGGGCCCAGCCCACTGTGAGTGGTGCCACCCCTGGGCAGGTGGGCCTGTGTTGCATAAGAAAGCAGGCTGAGCAGGGGCCAGGGGAGCAAGTCAGTAAGCAGTGTTCCTGCATGGCCTGTGCTTCAGCTCCTGCCTCCAGGTTCCTGCCCTGAGTTCCTACCTTGGGCTCCCTGATGAACTGTGACCCAGGAGATCTAAGCCAAATTAACCCTTTCCTCCCCAAGTTGGTATTGGTCAGAGAATTTTGTCACAGCAGTGGAGAAACAAGAACAGACACACTCACCATCAAAAAGTCAGGCAAGAAACAGCACAGATTTTTCCTGTGAACTCTTCATACTAGGGACACTGGAAGGTGCTGGTCACTCTCCGGGGGAGTCTTCCCTGCTCAGTTAATCCTCAGAAATACACTCACAGACCTGCCCTGAGGTGTGTCTCTTAGATGATGCCAGATCCAATCAAGTTGACCATCAACTTTAGCCTTCATATAGCACAGTATTTATCCCATAATCATGCATTTTATTTTAGCTACAATAGTAGTATAATTATCATGGTAGCCAGTTTAAATGAAGCCCTTCTAGAATAAACTCTTGTTTTCCAGAATTCTTTTTATTTTATTTATTATTTTTACTTTATGTGTATGAGTCTGTTGCCTGCATGTATGTGAGTGCACCCGTGTTGTGCAATGCCGCAGAGGTCAGAAGAGTGCTTTGGAATCCCCTGGAACTGGAGTTAAGGACTGTTCATAGCCGCCATGTGGGTGCTGGGAATTGAACCCGGGTCCTCTGCAAGATCAGTCAGTGCTCTGCTGAGCCATCTCTCCAGACCCCCAGAATTCTCAAGGAGGTCAGTGAAGGCCAATTGAATACAAGCATTTGAATACTGTTCCTCTGGCTGCTGTTTATTGTATGTCTATCCCTTAGTGTGAGCAGTCCCTTGTTAACATTGATAGCACCCTAGAAGTTTCTCCTTCACCCCTTCATCAACAGAAAGTAAGATAGATACATAGATACACTCTCTTTTGCAAGCCACGAGTCCTCTAACTGCTGTTTTGGGTTCCAGAGGTGCAAAGATAAATACAAAAGAAGCAACTCCCTGGCCTGTAGGAGGGGGACCCTGTCCTAGATCCCTCCCTCCACTTTCACCCTTCTACCACCTTCCTTTATTGAAGTCTGAGGGCATCCTTCCTCCAGAGGAAGATGGTTGTGGTCTCACCCTTCTCTATAGAGTGGGAGGGATTAGAGAAAGAGAAGGGAAGGGTGGGACTGGAAAACTGGAGGGGGCAAACTCTTGCTACTGTTGCCAATTATCTCAGAGACCAGTTCCCTGAAGGTTCTTTCATGGGGGAGATAATGATCAGCAGAGAGCTGGGAAAAGGCAGGTGTTGCACTACAACAGAGCCAGTGGACTTCTGTGCATTTGCCTTCTTTAAATAAGTTTGAAATTGATCAGTGCCTGCTCTTGATGATATATTATGTTTCCTGTTTGTTAGGCCTGTGACAGGAAGTTAGCATAGAAACAGAGCTTCCAGTTTCTTCCCCTTGACACTTTCTCTAAGCCTGAAGAGCTACTAAACATTGTTCAAAGTTGAATTAGTATGTAAGAAGGATCAGTGGGTTATAATCATTGTTGGTCTTGTGACAGAATATTCAGGCCTGTTCTTCCTGCAATTATGGAAAATCTCCTGGTTTTATGATTTCTCATCTTTTGGATGTTTCTGTTACATTCTTTGATTTCTAGTTGACTCAGTTTTGAGAATGAAGTGAAGTAAGGCCCTGAACTTTTATGACATGGAGTGGAAGGGATCCACAGAAGGCCAGTCTCCAGCATTAAGCAGTGGATGAGATCATGTATAGGAAAGTATTTAATACATTTTAAAAATAGAATGTTTGTGTATTAGGCTAAGCTCTTACTATGTTTATATAAATCAAGATGTAAATATAAAAACTGTGGTTATAAAAATTGGTAGTTTTCTCACACACCCTGTGCTTATTTTCAGGTTCTTTTTAATTTTATCGAAGTTTACTTGTTCCCAGTAAGTTGATCTTGTTTCCAAAATTGGCCACACCTTTCACCATTACCATTTTTTTTGCAAGAAACTGAAAAGTTCTATTAGTATTGATATTGGTTACAAGTACACTGCTTCCTTGTGTGATTTCTGGTTGGAAAGTGTGAAGTAATCAAGATAACTAATCTTCCCTCTTGGGGGAGAATAGGCTCCTCAGTAGGAAGTGTTTGTCCTGGCAGCTCCTCCTTCCTTTTGATGCTTCCCTTCTTCGGAAGGGTTGTGAGGGATGGGTCAAATCACCAAACCAAACCAACAACAAAAACAAAGAGAAAATTTCCTTTTGCTTCTGTTTGTGAAACTCCTCTTGGGAGAACCAAAGAGAATTCAGATGGGTGTGTGTGTGTGTGTGTGTGTGTGTGTGTGTGTGTGTGTGTGAAGCCAAAAGTCAACCCCAGGTGTCCTTCCTTAGGCACCGTGTGTGTGGGTGTGTGTGTGTGTGTGAGAAGCCACAAGTCAACCTCAGGTGTCCTTCCTTAGGCACCATTTGCCTTGTTTGCAAGCACTTTACCAACTGATCTATCTCTGCAGGTGTTTGCTTAAATTTTTTTTATTTAAAATTTTTAAAAATTTTATGTGTATGTGTGTTTGCCTGCATGTATGTAGTGTACCATGTGCTTACAATGCCCACAGAGGTCAGAAGAGGGCATTGGAATCCCTTGGAACTGGAGTTACAAGTGGTTGTTAGCCACCATGTGGGTGCTGGGAGCTGAACTCAGGTCCTTTTGCAAGAATAGCCAGTGCTCTTACTTGCTGAGCCATCTCTTCAACCCCTGGTTTGTTTTTGTTTTTTATACAAGGCTTTGTGCTATAGTTCAGGCTGGTTTGGACTCCCTGTATAGCCCAGGATGGTCTCATATTCAGGGCAATTCTGCCTTAGCCTCTGAATGCTGGAATTGTAGGTGAGCCACCACACTTGACCCTGCCCCTCCACCCCCCAAAAAAGTTTTCTGGTAAACACATTAAGTTACAAAACATCTGAGCTGCTCTTCCATGTTAAGATGTTTAAAGGAAAGAGAATGATTTTTCCCCTACCCTAAATGAAATGTGATTACTAATTTCATGGGTTATAAATGTTACATATGTTCAGAGCAATGAGTGTCAACAATAATGAAAGTAGAATGTGAATGTTGTTGTTCAAAGTGTCAGTGTGTGTTGTATGTATGTGTGTACACATGTGTATGTAGGTGCATGTGTGTGGAGGCCAGAAGTCAATGCTGAGTGTCTTTCCCTGTTGCTCTCCACTTTATTTTTTGCAACAATCTGTCATTGAACCTGGACTTTACTGATTTGGCTAGGCTGACAGGCCAGTGAGCTCTGGGAACTGGCCTTGTCTTTTTCTCTCCAGTACTAGATTATAGAAACATGCCACCACAACTGGCATTTTTTACATGTATGCTGGGGATCCAAACTCAGGTTTTCATGTTTACTGATCTCTCTAGCCCCTTACATTTTCTTTATCCATTCATCTACTGATGTACACATGTTGATTTCCTAACTTGGCTATTACAAAGCATTCCTTTCTTAATGATTCTATCATATGAATGAATCAGTATTGACTTATGTAGTTCCCTCTTAATAGATATTAAATTATTTCACAGTTTCTTAAGCTCTAGACTTGGATTTTTCCGTATGCAAGCCACTTGCTATGTGTGGCAGTTTAACTTAATTAAAAGTAAATAAACCGGGCATGGTGGTGTACATCTTTAATCCTAGTACTTGGGAGACAGAGACTGGAGAATCTCTGTGAGGTAGAGGCCAGCCTGGTCTACATGTCTCAAAAAGACCTCCCAAAATGTAAGTAATATTAAAAATCAGTCTCATAGCCACATTTCATGTGTTTGGGATGTACATTTGACCAGCACAAACGCAGCTTTTCTGTTATGTGGTTACTTGACAGCACCATTCTTTTTTTTTTTTTTAATATAAAATGCCTCCTTTAAAAGACTTCTATATGTTAGTTACCATTTTTACTTCATGTGTGCGAGTATATTGCTTTTACGTATTTTAAGTGCACACATGTCATGCAGTGCCCGTGGAGGGTGTTAGACCCCTTGGATTGGAGTTAGAGATGTTGTTAGCTGACATGTGGGTACTGGGAACTGAACCCAGGTCCTGTGCAAAAGCACCCAGTGCTCTTAACTGCTGGGCCATCTCTCCAGCCCTGGTAGTGCCACTTTGATACTGCTGGTTTTCTTTTAGAAAATAAAAGATCCTAATGGGGTGGTTTAAGAATTTTAAGCAAATTTAGAATGTCAAAAACTTTTAAGAGTTTTTGTTGTTGAGATGCTCAGCTTTATGGTTTTAAACTTAATGTTTGTATTAGAACGACTGACCCCACTTAGTGCAGAATGAGGTACAGATGATTCTGTAACTCCTGTCATTAGAAGGAGCAGAGTCAGCCTTCAGAGTATATGCTCACTGTTGTATCCACTTAGCAAACATTTTAAAGATACATCCTGTAGGGAGGAGGCACTTCGTGTAAAGGAATTTCTTTTCATATATCTTAAATTTGGGATTTCTAAAGTAGACAATGGATATTACCCTAGAATTAATTAAAATGAAAGAATTGACCTGTTTTTTTTTTTTTTCTTCTTTTAGGGCAAGTTAAAGTCTTCAGAGCTCTCTATACCTTTGAACCCAGAACTGTAAGTATTCAGTTTTAAATTGTAAAACTGACACAGCAACCTATGATGACTTCATTCTAGATACTTGCTCTGGCCTAACTGGTCTGTGCTTTCTGGGATGCATGTAGGTAACCCACCAGATGAGAGTTCACTGCTTTCCCCAGTGAGCAGGCTAACCCCAGGTTGATTTGATGGCTTGAGTCTGAAGGTCATGGACTCCTCACACTGCTTCCCCCCATGTGCATGGTGACACCTATTTTTAGGTCACCAAGTGGTCTGCATATAGAATACAGAGAACCCAGTGTTAGTCATGCTTCCTGTTCATCACTGACCTGCCCTTACTCTCCCTTTGGCTCTCGGCCTCACACCGCCTGCCAACCTGTGGAAGCAATCCTTTCACATCCATTCTGTGTGCCCTTTCCATTGTTAAAGTTTCTGCTATTTAGTGTGCCCCTGTTTTGTACCACATACTAGTACAGACCTTGGGGACAGTGTAGCAGCAGACAAAAGGAAGGACCCGTGGAGCCTGCATTCCAGTCAGGAGAGACATACAGATGACGTGACTATGTGGATGAGCACTGTGGAGTAAGGTCAGGAGGTTCTAGTTTCTTTTCTGTTGCTTTGCTAAAACACACTGAACGAAAACAACTTCGGGGAGGAAAGGGTTTGTTTGACTTATGCTTCCGTCTTTGAGGGAAGCCAGGGCAGGAGCTCAATCAGGAGCCTGAAACAGAAACCTTGGAGGAACACTGCTTGCTCACACTTAGCCAGCTTTTCTGTACAGCCCAGGACCACCTGCCCAGGGAATGGTGCTTCCCGCAGTGGTCCGGGCCTGCCTACATCAGTTTACAATCATGATAAAGACATGCCTACAAGCCAATCTGATCTGGGCCATCCCTCAATGAGAATTCTTCTTAGGTGACTCTAGCAAACTAGGACAGAGGGTCAGGGGTAGAGGCTAGTAGAAGGCAGATCAGTAGTGTCTAAGATGGCTTTTTTGTAAACATGACTGAATAGATAGATACCTTAAGGCAGTGAGGGAGCAGCAAATGTAAGCATTGCTTTGGGGATTCTAGAAACAGCTGGCCTCTAGAATGTGTGGCCTGCAGAATCAGGAATCAGGGAGGGTGATGGGGTATAAATTAATTCAGAGAGGGAAAGTAGGGGGCAGATCATATGGGGTCCTGTGGATCTCATTTGGGTTTTGCTATGGGTGGAAGAGGAAGCAATTGGAAAGTTCTGGGTACAGAAATGATTAAATAGTGGAGTGCTAGAAGAATCCAGAAGAATCCCCCTAACTGAGGTGTAGAAAGCCATGTGGGAGGCTGGAAGGTTTTAATAGAGAAGTGATTCATGAGGAAGCTGGGGGTCCAGACAGTTCAGAGGCAAGTGGAAAAAAAACAGGAAGGGAAACCTGTTAACTGGTCCCTCTGACATGCTGGAAGCTACTGCCTTCTCTCTGTAGGCAGCCAGTGAGCTCCCACTGTACCTGGGTTTGCTCTGGACCCTCCTGTCTCTGGAACCAGAGGCCCCTCAGAGCAAGGTCCTCTGAGTACTCATTCATTGTCAGAAGACCAGGGCCTGTCTGCAGACCACAGTCTCTCATCTCTTGAACCTGAAGTTCCTTGCTTGAATGTGGTAATACTACTCACTGTGTTTCAGTACCCACAATCTTCACATGAGGTTCATATTTAAGACCAACCACTTGGTGATTATCAGCAAATCATAGTGATTAATAGCCAGCCCAGGGTCTGTGCATGTTTCCATGAGCTCTCCTAAAATTTCAGGGATAGCTTGCTTCTGGAAAAGAAAGGACCAGTTGGCGTACTGTTCTCAGCAGGAGGTTTCAGTGGCATCCTCCTGTGTTGGTAATGGTAGGCCATGGGTAGGGTAGGGTGTTTATGGCTGGGGCTGTCACAGTGGTGTCACAGACGTGAGACTTCAGCCATAAAAATACAATTTCTTAGAATTCTGGAAGCCAGAAGAACCCTCAGATGGAGATGAGATGGCTGGTTCCTGTGAGGCCTGTCTCTGGCTTTAGTAGTTACTTTCTCCCTGTGTCCTTGTTCCAGTCTCTTAAGGACACCAATTGGATTGGATTGGGGTCTGCCTTAAAGACCTCATTTTATCTTAATGATACCTTTGAGACCCTGTCTCTAAATACAATCACATTCTGAGGGGTTAGGTTAGGACAGCAACTCAGCAACTTAAGAATGCCGGGGGCAGGGAGGGGGACAAAAGGGCCTAACAGGTAGCATGAGCCTAGAGCTGTCCTGAACTCTGCACAAGGAGTTTCTAATGGGATAAGATCAGCTGTTAATTGGATCTCATACTCCTGAGGAGGATAAGTATGTGTGGAAGCACATGGCACCAGCTGCCCCTGACAGGCTGTATAAGCAGGCAGCCACATAAGCCTCCAGACTCTAGAATGAGGCTTATGTTCCTTTAGTCTGGAGACCAGGTGATTTCTGACACCGCTGCTCTCCCCTGTGTCCTTTATCCTTTTCACTGAACTGACCTCCTCTCCTTGTGTGGCTCCTCCTGGCCTTGCCTTTCCTCACTTTCAGTATCTGACTCCAGGTTCTCTGTTCCATCTGTGCTCTCTGCTAGATTGATGTTCTCACATGTGGCTTTGGTCTAGCACATCTGACTAACCATGTGGTCTTTTGCAGTCCAACCCTCGTTTCCAGCCCTACTGTCCGCTCTCCCCCTTTCTTGCACCACTGAGGGGAGATCTGGTTCCCAGTGGGCCTGTCTGCACCTTTCCATACCCATGGCTTTGCCCCCTGTATGCACACTTGAACTGCTTCCCCTTGTATAAGTACGTCTCTGACCACTTCAGCAGGAAGTGGGCTGCCTCTTCTGTGGCAGCTCAGGCACACGTGTTTCAGGTATTATCTGGGGAGCAGAACCCAGACTTGGAGCTTGAACTAGGCTTTCAGATTTGCCCTACCTTTTTGGCAGCTTGTGACCTCCGGTCTCAATATTGTTTCTATTGAGTTTTAGTGATATTGTTAAAACTGTTGTTCCTATTCAGGAATAATTGCTACTGTTTACAACACTACCTAGAATAGTTGCTATTTCTAAGTAGTACTGGTTACTACCTCTATAGACACATAACAAATATTTTTATTTGCTTGATATATTGATTGCTTACCTCCATTTCTTGTCTGGAAGGGAATTTCTCCACTAATTTTTTTAAACCTTAGTTATTATTGAGTGTATAGGAGAAAATACGTATTTAATTCATTAGGTAATTTTAAAAATACTCTATTTTTAAAGTGTGAAGTACTGAAAGATCTCAACTAGTAGAGCAGGACACTGCTATCTGTGGTTGGATTCTGAAAACCTCCCAGACATAGGTTCATTTACCTTTTTTTGGTCTTTTTGAGACAGGGTCTCCCTGTAGGCCCACCTGGTCTGTAACTCACTGTGTATAGGCTGACTTTGAATTCACAGAGATCCAACTGCCTCTACCTCCCAAGTGTTGGGATTAAAGGTGTGTGCCACTATCCTGGCCAGCTCATTTACTTTTGTGAGTGTATGAGCCTGTCTGCTGGACAGTATGGGAAGCACAGCTTTGTCCTTCTCCACTGTGCCAGGCAGTCATCATCACTGGAGAGACAGATTCACCTGGCACTCAGCATGCCAAGTGCAAGGCACAGACATCACACACCATGATATAACACTGTGGCACAGCTCTTGCAGCACTTGCAACACAGCACATACAGTACACATGACACACAGCACAGTGCATGTTCTACATATCATATGATGAGTACACCACATGAGCAGCCCACTGTGTACTTGGCATGTAGTGTGCTCAGCATATCAGTCACTCAGCATACTTCTGTCACAGCATACTAAGAGTTCAGCATCCCATAGGCACCTTGAAGGCACAGCACACTAAGTGCTCAGCACACCTGGTATACAGCATTCTTTGAACACCGCTCACCACACCAGGTATTTATTTAGCACACCAAAGGCACAGCAGGCTACAAACTCATCATACTGAATGCATAGTATACCACAGCACACCAGGCATGCTGTGGGCACAGTATACTGAGTGTACAACACATTATGGCTTGCAGCATGCTAGCTCTGAGGGTTGATCTGAATTCTAGGGCCCTTTGCTACCATATGCAGCAGCCCAGGGAAGCCACAGTCTTGTTTTTAGGCACTGTTACACCTTGAGGAGATAGTGAAAATGATGGCTAGCCCATTTTGGTAATGTAGTGGCCAAGTAGAACATGGCAGTTGTGGCTCCTGATTTCCCATTTGTCTTGCCTCAAGGAAAGATATTCCTGGCATTACTCAACCCCATCTAATTCCTATTCTTCCCCAACCCGTTTGAATAAAGTGTCACATAGGGACCTGCCTAGAGTAGATGGACCAGTGTGAAGGCATGTTGACAGGGAGGGACAGTGTACCTAAGGAGTATTGGTTTCTGAAGGGAAACCCGCTGAACCTGCTTGGTCATGTAAGACTTGCTGGGCTATTCCAGGTATGTGAGGAAGGAATGGGAATCCAAAAACTCAGGTAGGGTTACAGCCCCGCTGCTCACTGTGATTTGTACCAAATTTGTTCAGCTTCTCTGTATCTGCTGCAGAACAGAGATGATGCCTGTGATACCCATGGCCCAGCCCTGCCTAGTGGTTGTTGTAAGAACCAAGTGAGGTCAAGTATACTTTTCAAGGAAAAGGGATTGTTTCTTTTGATGTCCTGCATAATTGAGGAGGTAGGACGAGGAATATTTTCCCAAGCCACTATCATTGAACTAGGTCTCGACACCATGATGACTAATAATGGTTGTATATACATGATGCTTCCATGTGAGAAAACACACGAGGGGTTAGGAGCTGGAACTGTAGTCTGATGTTGTCAGCTCTGTGACATCTCACCTATAATATGGTAATAAAAACAGCCTCACTTAGCACTGTTGGTGAGGATTAAGTTAGTATTTGCAAAGGTCCAGACCAATGCCTGGCACATGAGTAAATATCATATAAAGTGGTAAATGAAAGCGTTCATGGAGCATGTTTTTCCTGTTGGTTAGTTTTTGGGTCTTTAGGTTACCAAATCTAAAAAATTTCAAAAGTATATCACAGTTTTGCTAAGCTTTTTTAAAAAAATTGCATAAACCAACAAAACTAGTATCTTGGGAATCGTGTTACCCAGAATCTATAGGAGTGGGAATGCATATCTGAACTCTGTACTTTAACATCCAGTTGTTTGTTTGTTTTTGTTTTGTTTGAGACAGTCTCCCCCCTGCCCCCACCTTCCCTTCCTCTAGCCCAGGCTGACCTCAGTATGAAGCTCAGGCAAACCTTGCTCTGAGTCTTTGCCTTCTGAGTGCTGGAGTGATGGGCCTGAGTCATTATGCCTGGCTCACTTCCTTGTTCTGATACCTTGTGGTTTCTCAAGGAGAGATGAGGGAATGTGGTTAAAAATCATAGAAGAAGCTGGATGTAGAGATGTGCTCATGACATCATTGGGTCACTTTCCCCACTTCTGTTCCATGAATATGATGCCAGGAATGTAAAATAGATCCCCATCGAATGATTTACATCAGGTCGTTGTTGTGGGTTCTTAATGGAAAATGTGACTATTTTGGTGACAGTCTGATTTTTAAACCATACCTTACTGTCTGTACTGCTGGCAGTAGCAAGAATTTTGTAGACCGCCTCCCAAGCTGGGTTAGGAAAACCCACCTCCTTATTCTGTTTCTTTGGAAGAAGGTGTTTTGTAGGTAGCAGCATTGTGTACCTAGGAGCTATTAAATGAGAGTAAGCTATCCACTCTCTTTTCTCAGGATGGGAAAAATAAAAAGACCATTTTCTACTTGGCTGAAGTTGACCACTGGTTGTTTCCTCATTGGAACCATAAATCTGACCCAGTGGTTGGCTGTGGCAGACACCCTTGTGGAACAACGTCCATGTATTTAAAACCAAATCCGCACTGATAATGTCTTGAAATGACTGGAGTTACTGACATTTTCCAAAATTATGTACTTTACCAAACCACAAAAAAAAAAACTTGCCTGAAAGACATTCAGAGTATTAACTTGGTTTCTTTAAAAAATTGGGTAAAATTTGTATAACATAATATTAATTACTTTAAAACAGTTCAGTGAGACTAGGACAGTTGCCATGGTGAACAGCCACTTCCTGACCCAGTTCTAAAACATGTTCATCATCCTAGAATAATACTCTGTACCATCTCATTGTTTGATTCACACAAAAGAGTAATTGCAGGGATTTGGTGTGTGTGCATGTGTGCGCATATGTGCTTGTGTATTTTAAGCTATTCATTTGGCATGTTTTCATCGTGTTTCTTTCAAGGGTGAGTGATCTTATTAAAGATGGACATTTAGGCAGACCTGACTTTTGAAGGAGATGAAAGCTGCTGGGAAAGATGCCTCCTTAACTTTTCTGAAAGCACTGATTGAGGAGGGCCAAGCGCAGGATAGAACCAGCTCAGGACAGCTGTAAGATGGGACCCGATGCCTGGTACTTGCAGAACTTCAGAAAGAAAGCTTCAGTTGGCATCTGGCCTCTCCTCTGCAGCCACTCTACCTCTTCAGTTCTTCCTCCCTATGCCTTTGTGCCTTCGAAAGGAGAGATAGTCAAGTGGTGATAAAATTGCCAACTTAATGTTCTGAGATGGCCACTATATCCAGTGGACATGCTGTGATGATGAGTGAGGGAGTCACTAAAGTGACTGAGAAGGATCCAGTTCGCAGTTGGCATTAAAGGAAATTGTTTCCCTAAGCACGTTCTATGTCTTTCACTTATTGGACATAATATTGGTCATCCATCTTTAAAACATTTTAGAGTAAAGTGATTAGAGAAAGATCTCTATGATCTCTTTATTTCTCTCCACCTGAGTATTTATTTCAAATAAAGTTATAATGCACTTCGTTGTGTAACTTCTGCTATAAATCTAGTCTCCGTAAACCAAAGTATAAAGGCAACACATGTTTACGAAGCTGCCTTTAAAGGAATTCAGGCATTTGGGGCATCATTAGTTATCATTCACCACTTTTTTTATTAGAATGCATCATTCATCTGACTATTCATACTGTGATTGCTTCAAGCAGGATACAGTTGCTAGTAGTCTTCATTTATATTCAGAGCAGCAGCTATAATAATAGTGTAGATCAACTTTGAAATGAATTGTATTGCTAGTGCAGAGTCACATATACACATCCCAGTCTCCTACTGAGAGGAGGCAAACACTTGGAGAAGCCAATGGGTGCAATACGTTGTTTCACTAGTGTAATTTTTATTTGTATGGAATAGGCAGAAGTATCAGTCTTTTTTTTCAAGGTATTTTTCCACCAGTATTATCAGAGTAGTATGTGGTAATGATAGCAAATTTGGAAAAGTTTCTATGCAGATTTTATGCATGATTGTGATCTTATGTAGTATGAAATCTGTGCTTGATACTTTTCACACAGCTTGGTAAAGTAGCACCTCTGTCAGTATCTGAGATTGGCTTTCAGTGGACATTGCCCTTTGTTTACGCAAAAACTCATGGTGGTGTCTACTAATGCTAATAGGATGTGTAGATCAAGTGCCGGTCTTCCGAGGGTTTGCAGGGCACTTTGACTGGCCACACCATGGTTCCTGGACTGTATATGAAGCAAAGCCCTGGAGCTGCTGTAGACTCAGGATGGCCACAATGATTGATTTGTGGGCTTCAGGTCTTAAACTCCTTGATGACTGAACTATGTATTAATTATTCATATACATGAAATGTTCATTCTCTTTGAGCATGAAGTGGTTGGATAATGGTTTTCTGAAAATAAGCAAATATTGGTGTGTTTTTCATGATCTTAATTCTAAACATTCATCCTTTCATTAAAGCATATATATCTCCTATTAGCATTTCTATGAAGAAAAAATTTTATTAATATTCTATTTTTGGCATGAAAATGCCTAGCTTTGTGGTAGAAGAATATGTACTGAAGTTCATTATGAGAGAAATACAGCTTTGGAATTCATGTGTTAATTTACCAATAATTTTCTGTTGTATGGTGTTAATAATAATATAGAAAGCAATATTATCTACAAGAATACTTTAGGATGTAGAGTTACATAATTAAAGAAATTACTATATTCTAATATGTGAAAAATTACATGGAACTTTTTTTTCCTTTTAGCCAGATGAATTGTACTTCGAAGAAGGTGATATTATCTACATCACTGACATGGTAAGCCCAGCTAGTGTTTGTAATACTACATGTATGATACAGATGTATTAATACAATGTAAGACTGTTTTATGTAACCATAGCATTGTAAATTAAGTGTATATTTACATAGACTTATGTATGCAAAAGTCTTTTGATTTTTAGCACATTTTATGGTAGCATATCATAGAAATAAAATAATTATAAAATAAAAGTAGCCCTTTGATTCATCAGTAGGAAATAGTTGAATAAGCCTTATTATGTTCACAGATGGAACTTTGAACAGCCATACAAAGGAATGAAGATACAGCTCTTATACACTAGTCTGATATAATTTAAGTGGAAAAAAGCAAGATGAAAAATATGCATGTATTTTACTTTCACTTGTCTAAGAAAGAGTGAGAGAATATATGTATGCCTCTGTATCCTTACATTAAAACAAGGAGTAAATTGTGAAATAATAATTTAAAAATTAGTTTTCTCTGTGTGAAGGAAGGGAGATAGGTAGAAGGAACATAGAAAATAAATGTTCAAAATTACAATTTGATTTGGAGATTTGACTTTGGAATCATAAACTTCTATGTGGTTATAAAATTAAATAATAAAAAGCAGCCCCTAAAAATTAAAAACAGAGTAAATCAAATAACTTTAATTATACTCTGGCAGTCAATATGACCACACAGAAATGAGGTATCCTTAATGACTTTAACTTGGCAATTTGACTAAATATCCCTAGTGACTACATACAAAAGACATAGAACTACCCAAAAATAAGTAAATATAGGAGTAAACATCTCTTGATGGTGGTTTGCTCTGGGCAGTATGCTCTGTGTGTGTGTCTTATGGTGAGGGCAGATAAATCACTAGGTCACTGATGTCCTTTATGCTCTCAGCATGGGAGGAGGAGTGAGGTTAAGTAGAAACAAAGACATTCTTCCTTTGAATTTGGAAAAACACATCTTTTTTTTTTTTTTTTTTTTTTTTTTTTTTTTTTTTGGTCTTTTTGAGACAGAGCCTCCTTGTAGCCCCAGCTGTCCTGGAATTTACTATGTAGACCAGGCTGGCTTGAACTCACAGAGATCTGCCTGCCTCTGCCTCCTGAGCGCTGGGATAAAAGGCGTGCGCTACCACACCTGGCGAAAAACACATCATTTTATCTTTGAAGGGTCCTTAAAGAATGAGCAACCTAATAATGATATATTCTCATGGAAAGGATCAAGGCCCCTTTGAGAAATAGCCAGTAGCAGCCCTGAGGACTAAGTGTACAAGATAAACTGAGAACATCTTGTTACTGGAAGAGAAGGCAACTCCAAAAGACTGCAAGGGCCACACTGGAGGGATGGTGGGATGATGAAATGAGGGATGTTGAAATGAGGGATGGAGGGGTGGAGGAACATGCAAATCAGTGTGCAGCAGCATCACACAATTTGAGCATCAACTGGGGCATCAGTTTCCAAGGATTGAAACACACTGCTTGTTTATCATTCTTAATGTTACTTCAAAACAAGCAGATATCATTGGTACTGTGAGGGAGTGCTAGGGAACTCAATTTTTTATTCTGACAACAGATAAGGGAAAGAGCACTTATTCTGCCCTTTCTTCATGAACTTCATCAACTGAGAGTTGATGAGAAAAAGGTTTTCTTTAAAGAGGTGCTAGTTATTCTAGTGGTAGGAGCTACCCATTCTGCAACTCCTGTGATTATTGATGACAACCAACATTTCTACAGAGGCAGCCTTATCTTGTATGTTCCCAATGGGAGAAATCAGTACTACCTATGCAATAGCCTTGCCAAAATGTGAGGCTGAATCTAATTATACCTAGAACTGACCAGCAACTTATGGGCAATGTTGGGAACAGGAGGATGTATTTAATGATAGCACAGATATGCAACAGGAAAAATCTAGATTGTTTGAACTTCTACAGAAGAAACAAATTGGTTCCTTCAAATATATATCAAGAGCTAAAAAAGAATGGAGGAGGAACCATTAAAGAAATCCAGGAGGCAAATTGGTCATATTGCATGATCCTTGTTTAAGGCTCCAAGCTAAGCTAGGTGTGGTGGCTAATCATAGCACTTCAGAGGCAGAGGCAGAGGCAGGCAGATCTCGGTGAGATGGAGGCCAGCCTGGTCTGTATAGTGAGTTCCAGGCCAGCTGGGGCTACAGGGAGAACGTGTGTCAAAACAAAACAAAGCAAAATCCCAAAAAAGATCCCAAAATTTTGAGTATTAGCTATTTGATTATATTAAGGAATTGCTGGGAAAAAGTTTGAAGCTGTGATAATAGTATCAAAGTTGTCTTTGTAAAAGTGTATGCTTTTAGATACATATTCACATATTTAAATATTTAAAAATATGCCACCTAGAATTCCTTTCAAAACCCCAGAAGGGATATAGATTGTAGGTAGTAAGGTGGTATTGGTCATGAGCAGATGGTCATGAAGTTGGGAAATGGTTTATTACATTGTTCTGTCTGCTTTTGTAGATATTTGAACTTTTCTATACTAAAAAGTTACCCAAAAAGTGAGGTTAATCTTTAGAAAATGTGACAAAACAAAGTATATCAAAGAAAAATAGTCTGTGTCCACAAACCCTATAACTATAGTCTGAAAAAATTACTAATAAAATATTTTCCTTCTTTCATATAACCTGATTTGCTTGGTTGTTGAAATTCTGTGATGAACTGTATTTGATCTGAACAGTGATATGTTTGTATATGTGTTTCATGATAAGGGAAATGGATACAGATAGCAAGGGTTTGTGGGTGCTGATAAATAGGGACAGGACCTGTAGTTTACAGCTCAGGTACACTTGGCAAGCCAAATAGTTTCCAACATATTGAATGCCAGCAATTTGATACAATGCAATTTCCCTCTTCTCTTGGCAGAGTGATACCAACTGGTGGAAGGGAACCTGCAAAGGAAGGACTGGGCTAATTCCAAGCAACTATGGTAAGTGGCCAGCCTGGCTTCACCTCAGCTTCACCATGGTCCTGTTTGTTATCTGGTCCTGAGGCCATTTGACTCCGCAGTTGTGGCCAGGAAATCAGTGGAGTCATTTCTAATCTTAGGACATTTTCTACCCCAAGAATCTCCTGTTCATCAAATGGCCATGAACACCAGATGTGCTTGAGCTGATGCTTGGCGTATGAGAATGCATTGTAGCAATTAAAACACCCCAAAGATTCCAGGGAAACACGGTTTTACTTTTCCACTCTTAATATATATATTTTTTAAATGTTAAACTCCAAACCACAGAGTGTTTCTCAGACTAGCTCTCTAGTCTGTGGTGAAGAAACCCTGCCTTGTGACAAACTCATGTTCCTGCTACCCATTATTAAATGCTTATCAAAGCAGTTTGGAGAGCTTGACTATTGAGATGTGGCCCTGTGCGAAGCTATTTTTAGAAATATTAATTTCTGGTTGGAAGATAAACAAAATTGACAAAAACATGTAAGTAAAAACTAATAGAGTAAAATAAAAGCACAGGATTGGTCAGCAAGGGCCCTGATTCTAGGGTTTTTTTTTTTTTTCTTCCACTTAGTGACAGGGCTCCTTACTTAAGATACCTGATTGGATTCAGTTCCCCATCTATACAGTAAGAGTACTTGGTTTTGATCACTTCTTAGATCCTTTTAGGCTTTAATTACATGAATCCATCCTTGGACTAATAGAGCTGGCATCAGGTACCAGTTCCAAGCATTGCAAAGGGACTTAGGAAATATCAGAGAAGGACCTACTTAGTGACAGGGCTCCTTACTTAAGATACCTGATTGGATTCAGTTCCCCATCTATACAGTAAGAGTACTTGGTTCAGATCACTTCTTAGATCCTTTTAGGCTTTAATTACATGAATCCATCCTTGGACTAATAGAGCTGGCATCAGGTACCAGTTCCAAGCATTGCAAAGGGACTTAGGAAATATCAGAGAAGGACCTTCGGTGATCTGGGGACATGCGGGTAAGGGCTATGGCCTGGGGCCCAGCACAGGAGCTTTGCATGCCATGGACTCTGTTTGTGTGGTCTGTTCCTCTGAACCCCCACATACCTTTCCACTGTGCTATATTTCCAGCCTTGGCCATAGACATGGAGTTGTGCTGCTTTGAATCCTGGTAGCCAATGAATGTTCTATCCCCACCTTCTTGAGATGCAGTCTTCCTCTGGGCATGCATACTCATTTAGGGACACAGTGGGCAGGTAGGCTGCTGCTGTCCTTTCTGATACAAGCAGCAGAGTGCCCCTCTTGAAGTCCCTCCTACTTTTCCCCACAGAAGGGAATCAGAATTTCCAGTTTCCTCAAAGCAGGCTATTTTGCAGGATGTGAAAATGGACATCAGATGCTTTCTTTTATGATTGTGTTTGCTTATTAAATACTTGAGTAAACTGGTATTTGGGTTGGGGATCTGCTTGGCTTTGTTTATATTTCAGTTAATGGCTATGCTTGCTGTTGTTTATACTTGCTGTGTTATTGCCATATTGCTTGCCTTGTTTTCATTTAACACAGAATCCAGCCTCTTTTAAAGGTACTGTCCGTTGATTTTCTGTTACTTTTAATCCCATGAAGTATGGGAAACTGGAGTGTCTGAGACTCTGACGCTAGGGAAGCTGCGTGCCCATGGGCGTGAGCAACTCCTGTGAATTGCTGAATGACCTCAACAGTGGGCTTGCACTTTTTGTTTTCAATCTAGTGGCTGAGCAGGCAGAGTCCATTGACAATCCATTGCATGAAGCTGCAAAAAGAGGTAGGTGTGTTTCTCTCTTTGTACCTCTCTCTCTCTCTCTTTCTTTCTCTCTCTCTCTCTCTCTCTCTCTCTTTCTCTCTCTCTCTCTCTCTCTCTCTCTCTCTCTCTGTTCCTTCCCTCCCTCCCCCACCCCTTAATAGAGGAATACAGTAGAGTAAAATGCATAGGTTTAAGTTTTTTTTATTTTTTGAGAATTGCATACTTGTATTTTGATCACCCCCCCAACTTCCCATCTGCCCAACATGTCCCCCTCCCACCTTCATGTTGTCTCTTTTTTTAAAACCCACTGAGTCTCATTAGTGCAGCCCATGTACATGTAGCTGTGGGGCCATCCCCTGGGGCATATAGTCAGCCAGTGACTATACCCCAGAGAAAAATTGCTTGCCTTCCTCTGGCAGCTGGCAGCTGCTAGTAGCTCTTCAGTCAGGAATGAGATCTCATGAACCCCTTTCCTATTCATGCAAGAATTTTGATAAGCTTCATCTTGTGCAAGTCTCGTGCATACAGCTACAGCTGCAGTGAGTTCATGACAGCAGTGACCGTGCTGTGTACACAAGACAGCATTTCTCTCCATCCTCTGGCTCTTACCTGCCTTCTGTCTCCTCTTCTGTGGTATTCCCTGAGCCTTGGATCGGCAAGGGTGGTGTAGATGTCCGTTTAGGGCTGAACACTTAAAAGTCACTTATTCTCAGCACTTTGACCAGTTAGTAGTTTCTCATTAACCCTACTGTCCACTGCCCCCCCCCCCCCAAAAAAGAAGCTTCTCTGACCAAGGCTGAGAGCAGCACTAATCTGTGGGTAGAAACATAAATATTTAGAAGGCAGTTTGACAACCTGACCATTTAGCAAAACAACAAGTTCCCTACAAGGACCTTTGACTTCCCTAGCCATGGGCATTTGACCAGTTGCACAGTGTGGAGTGTGAATTCTCTCCTGTGGAGCAGGTCTCAGATTTAGAAAGCTGTTGTTTATCCCCACAAGAGTCATTCCACTCTTGCTCCAGTGGGTACATCTTGTCTCGGTACTATAACAAAATGCCTAGGTTTTAATTATAGTTTTATGAGCTTTGACAAATATGTACACCCAGAACACCAACACCCAGATTAAGATCTAGAACATTTCTATCATCCCAGAATGTTCCCTCACATATCATCCTAATTAAATCCCTGCCTCTCCCAGAAGCAATTTCTGTGCCGACTTCCACCACCATAGAAGGGTAAGAGTGATTTTAATTTTAAAATGTCAGTTAATAAACACCTTTGAGTACTTTACTACCCTGTGCTCAAAGGTAGGAATATGCAAGTGGAATGATGTGATCTGTGATTCCCAAAGTTGAGAGTTAGACAGGGGAGAGATACGTGTAACAGATAATTAAAACCTAGTGTGGTGAGTCCTGGAGAGCAGGAGGGCAGATTTGTCCTGGAACATAGCACTTAGAGAAAGTGTTGATGTGAGAGGGTTTGGGAGGAAAGAGGGTGAACCATAGGGCCCAGTCTGGGGAGAAGCTGTGACCAAACAAGAATGGGCCTTGTCTTGACTTTCCTCCTGTGAGTGAAGGCTGCCACTCCCCATAAGCTCCAGATACTTCGCAATATGTGGGGACGTTTTGACTGTCACATGTGGAGGGGTATTGCTGGTATTCTTTGGGAGGAGGCCTAGGCTATTGCTAAACATCCCAGTGCCCAGGGCAGGCCCCATAGCAAAGAATTCGCCAACCCCAATTGCTGCCAGCACAGTGGGAACCTTCCTGCAACAGTGGGAACAATGGTGCCACCTCAGCCCCATTTCCTTCTGTTCCGTGTCTGGATGTGCCAGGGAAATGTCAGCCTTAGAACCACTAAACTAACCTTTAAAAAACGCTTTGTAAATTAGACATTTAGGACATAGAGCATAGAGCAGTAGCTTTGAGTAGTGTACTGAGCATTTTTTCTCATAAGAACTGAGAATGTATATAAATATGAATGGGAAGAGTTTCAGTTTGTACTCAAGTTTGACATTATCTCCCTACTTTGAGAACTTCACACACACAAAAAGCCATTTTGTAAAACATAAATACCTTTAGACCTCTTTTCGTAACTTCTCCCATTAAAATCGATGTTATTGGTTTCCATTAATAAACTGGGAGTCAAAATGTACCATAATAAATGCATTAATGGGCAGGTCTTAAGATTTGCAGATTAATCCATTATAAATTGGAACTTAAAAGGATAAAATTGATTTAAAAGAAAAACAAAGAATAAAAGTCCTATTTCTTGTGTTTTTTAATAAGCATAATATTCTTTCAGGCAACTTGAGCTGGTTGAGAGAGTGTTTGGACAACCGAGTGGGCGTCAATGGCTTGGATAAAGCGGGTAGCACTGCCTTATACTGGGCCTGTCACGGGGGTCACAAAGGTACCGCATCTCCTTCGTTACATGCTCTGTGCTCTTCAGAGTGCCTCTCACCTGGCTCTCCCTGTGTACCATTAGCTATTCTGGAACTCACCAAATAGAACAACCTGGGTGTAACCAGCCCCATGTCACCCTGCATCTGCTTCCCTAGTTCTGGAGTTGTAGGGAACTATAACTATAGGATTAGGGCCTCCTTACCCAGCTCTTTTGCTTCTTATAAGTTCCTGTGAAAGGTACTCCAGATGAGTGTCTGTTAAAGAGCTCCTGTAAGCCACCATTAAATGTACCTCCCATACAGACTCTTGGATTTTAGAAAGAATTACTGCAATCGTAAGATTTAGAGAACACAGCTCCATGTCAATACACCTCTGGTACCTCCACTCTGTTAGAAGATTGTTAGGGCCATATTTTGTCATAAATTTCTTGTATATTATTCAAGTTAATCTTGTATAACTTCATAGAAATGTTTCTCACGTAAGGGAGCCTGTTTTTTTAAAAACAATAAAAATACTATTGGCTGTGTTTTCAAATCCTTCAAAACATCAGGAAAAAGCCATGTTCTTGGAAACTTCAGAGCCGGATGGAATGTGGCTGGTCAGCCTCACTGTGCAGACCTCTTGAAAGGTTGGAGGCCTCCTTTCCTTTTTTAGGCTTAGGAAGGTCACCAGGAAACACCAGTAATATGACATGAAACCTGCGAAACCTGCTGTCTCATATCCAAGCAGACTTGGCTCTACTAGCTGAGCTTTCCCTAGGCTCGCTTTTTGACCTGCATTTCAAGTTCAGTGCAAACACTGAATTCAGAACAACACTGACTTTACTTTTTAATTCTGTTATAACCAGTAATAATGACAAGTTGAATTTCTTGATGTATTTCATTCTGGCCCAAACCCTACCATCTGCCTCTCTGCCTCTTGATCCATAGCACAAGAAATAAACCCAACAACAATGAAAAAACAGAGCCCAACAAACTAAGTAGCAAGCCAAGGGAAACTTTGACTTTCCAGTGAAGCCTGTCTTATTTTAATCAGTAGGCATAAATTTAGTTATGCAATTATTAAGCATCATAGAAAATGTAAAAATACTTCTATAATGTCATGTGAAAATGGAAATGCAAAAGAATTTTTTTTGACTCTCACTGTGTAATGAAGGGATGACCCTAAACTTCTGCTCCTCCTCCTATGTCCCAGGGTCCAGGGATTACAGACCTGCACCACTCCCAGGTTATATGCCTGGTGCTGGAGAGTGAACCTGGAGGGTTGTGCTGCAAGGCAGATGCTCTACCAACTAAGTTGCATGCTTAGCCCCCCCCCCCCC